AAGTAGCGCTCCAAGGACGGAGGTGGGGCCCCACACGTCCATGTGCGGCGTCTGCAGAGGAGCAGTGGTCGGAACGAGGGGGAGTGAGGAGTGGCACGCTACCGCCTCTCGACGCAGGGAGTGCACGGCGGCACAAGCGACCGTGGGAGTGGGAGCAGGGGAGGCCAGAGACAAGGAGACGCGAGCGCATGCGAGGGAGGGGTGACCAAGACGGTGGTGCCAAAGGTGGGACGGGTGCGTGAGTACCTAGCACGAGCAAGACGCAGCTACCTGACCAGATGCGGCCACCTGTGCAGACTCAGTGTGAAGTGTGTACAGGCCAGACCCAGGACTCCAAGTGAACGTGGCAAGGTGTTCACCAGTTACTGAGTCTGTTCCTGGAGGACAGCTGTACTCACCAAGTTCATAGCGAGCGATGGGAGGTGGAGACCTATGAGCAAACCAGAGGGGGGCGCCGGGCACGGGAGTATATTGGAGCCGCGTGTAACGACTGGGCCTGAGGAGGGGCCGGCCAGGGTGATAGGGACAGGTGCTGTGAGTGGTGTCACTGTGGTGCAGTTGGGGAAGAAGCAGCAGGACGCGCCTGAGTCCAGTATGAAGGTATGTAGAGCCTCCGCAGGAACTCCATTTGTGCTAGCAGACTCACAAGCACCTACAATAACAGCCTCTACACTTCCACGGACGCCTCGCTGGGAAACCCACTCATGAAGCTGCTGCGGCAAGAGGGTCTCCTGCTAACGCTGCTGCCGCTACTGCCCACCCCTAGAACCTCCGCCTCCACCAGCTGCACCACCTGTGCGAGCAGACTCACAGGCACCTACACTCGCCTCCTCGACCAGGTGCTGCCACTCCCAGAACAACGGACGCCACCGGTGCTGCGGCTGGGTGGCAGGAGAGAGGGAGGAGTAGTGCATAACCACAGCGTCGTAGAAAGTCTAGGCTGGCGACACCTGGCGAAAGTGGGCCCTCTGGTCGAACGGCAGATGCGCGTTGAAAGCAAGCTGGGCGACAGCGTCGCGCTCCGTCCACTGTGTGCACGCAACGTGGTCCGTCCGGTACCGCCACTGCACGTCATCGCCAGCATCAGCAGCAGGCTCGGTGGGAGTGGTGGGCGTCTGAACGACCCCGACGTGTGCTCAAACAGAGAGACGCCATCTTTAGTGAAGCGCTGGAGATACAGGCGCACACGCTCGAGCCACGACTCTAACTCGAAAGGGCGCCTGTCTGCGTCAACCGCTAAAACATTGATAGTGGCAATGACAGGAACTAGGTCAAGCTGCAGATCTAGGCACAGACGGCGGATCGGGATACAGTCCGACAGAAGGTGAGCAGTAGTATGGTCCAGTGTAGCAGCGGCACACAAGCAGCAGAGGCGGTATAGCGCACGAACGGTAGTAGCGGCAGCACGGCGCACGAGGAGTAGCGGCGTAAGGGCAGCAGCAGCGGCGGTACAAAGCACGGGCAGCAGCGGCTACGGTGTGGCGCCTGGGTGGTAGCAGTGCACGGGCAGTAGCCGCGCACAGGCAGAGGCTGCGGCTGCAGTTGCTGTAGCGGCAGTTTTGGTAGCTGCAGCAATGGCTGGAGCAGTGGCTGCAGTGGTGGCTGTAGTGGCGGCTATAGCAGCTGGAGTGGCAGCGGCGGGCGGCACGGCTGCGGCACTTGTGGATCTGTAGCAGGAGCAGCGGCAGAGGCAGCTACTGAAGTGGTGTGGCTGCAGTGGCGGCTGTCAGCAGTGGCAGCGCAAGGGCGCGGGACAGGTCAGCGAGGACACGCGGGGCAGGGCAGTGTGACGGCGCGGGGAAGGGCAGCGCAACGGCACGAGGCAGCGTGCGGGCAGGCGCTGCGCGCAAGGCAACGTAAGGGCAGGCGCAGCGCGCGAGGCAGCGCACGAGCAGGGCAGCACGCTCAGGGCAGGGTACGGGCAAAGCAGCGCGCGCGGGCAGGCGCGGCGCGCGTGGGCAGCGTACGGGCAAAGTGCACGAAGGGCAACAGCGCGTCGGACAGGCACAGGTAACAAGCGGTACGTACAGACCTTATCTAGCCACTGATAGCATGACAAGAAGTGTGAACAGCGGAATGATGTGCACTAGCAAGTAAGGGGTACAAGTACAAACCCTAACGTGTGTGTACCCCATATTGTGTACCCCACTAAAGCCTAACAAACAGGTTTATATTTTGACAACTTGGATACCGTATAATCAGCAGGCATGTTTCGTTGGATGATGGTTAATCAATCCACCAGCTACCTCTCGAGTACTCAGGTCAGACCATGAAGCAAAATTCCGGCAAGCGCCATACAACGAAAGACAGGGTCTGCATGGGAGATCCTTCAGTTCAGTGGAGCATGAGGCACATTCTGGCGGACCTAATAGATGGGAGGTAGTCAATCCACCACCACCCTGTCACCCTCCCCGCGTCGACCAGCAAGGGCTCTTTTAGCTTGGGCAACCAACGGAGTGACTTGGGCAGACAGTTCAGCTCCGGGAAATAGCACAGCTCCAACGTTTCAAGGTTTTTCAGTTGCCAGAGTGACTCGGGCAGCACAAATAACTTTTCCAGGTGTTCGAGCTTCAAGAAACTGATATTTTCCAGCCGTCCGAGGGATTCTGGCAAGCTGGAGAGGCCACGCATGTGGGTGAGGGTGAGGGAAGAGAGGGCAGAGAGCATGGAGAAAGAATTAGGGAGGGAGGAGATTTGTGAACAATTACGCAGAGACAGGCTGGTGAGAGACGCCAGGCCCCAAGGCTGCTGTGCATTGTGCTGCTCCTTGCTGTGCTGTGGCTATGGCTCTGGCTGTGCCTGTGCCTGTGGCTGTGCAAGTGGTTGTGCCTGTGCCTGTGGCTGTGCCTGTGGCTGTGCCAGTGACTGTGCCTGTGCCTGTGCCTGTGCCTGTGGCTGTGCCTGTGGCTGTGGATGTGCATGTGCCTGTGCCTGTGCCTGTGCCTGTGGCTGTGTAAGTGCCTGTGCCTGTGCCTGTGGCTGTGCCTGTGGCTCTGCCTGTGACTGTGGTTGTGCCTGTGCCTGTGCCTGTGGCTCGGTGGACTTATTGATATGAGTGCAAGAAGTGGTGGGACCAGCAGCAGCGGCTGTAGGAGCGACCGTGGCAGAAGCAGGAGTAGGCTCAAGAGGAGGGCGAGGCGTAAGGTCAGGAGAAGGGGCAGAATCAATGGAGAGAGCAGAAGCAAGGGAGAAGGTCAAGGCTAATGGGGGATTTGGAGCAAACAGAGGCTCTAGGGAATCGAGGAGAGGGCAGCCGGTGATTTCGAGCTCTTCCAGGCGCGTCAGCATGGCCAGCTGGGGAGGCAGCCGCCTCAGTTCGCTGCAGCAGCACAGGTAAAGCAGCTCCAGGCTGTGCCTCACACTCCCCGTGCACAGGCTTTCGGGCAGCTCCAGCACAACCAGCTGCTCGATTTCTAACAACCTCAATCGGTGTAAATTGCCCACACTCTCGGGCAGGGCACGGAGGTTGGGCAGCCTTTCAAGCACTAGGGTTTCAAGCTGTACGAGGGATCCGAAATTATCGGGAAGAGAGGTGAGTGCAGCGCATGATTGGATGGAGAGGGAGGAGAGGGGGAAGGAGCACATGGTGTCCGGCAGGCTCTGAATGGACACCCAGCGAAGTAAAAGCTTCTCCAATCTCGTCATTGCTCCCATCACATGCTCTGGCAGGCGCTTCACATGCTGGGACTGCAGCGAGAAGGAACGAAGGCTGGTGATATGCTGAAAGGAATCCTGGATGAGCTGCACACCCATCACAATTTCTAGGGTTTGCAAATGTGGTAAGTAACCAATCGAGCTGAGGAGGTTCGCGGGGCTGCTGACGGAATCCGGGAGACCTTTGAGCGGCGATCCTGTGTTTGAGCAAAGTTCCCGTACTTGCTGAAGCGCGCCGATGCTTTCGGTTGGCAAGAGCAGAAGCTCACAGTGATCGTCGCCAGTGTGGCGGCAGAGATGGAGGGTTGTGAGGTCGGAGAGGTGAGAGACGCGGGCGGGAGGTGCGTGAGGTGGTTGAGGGTGAGCAGGCGGAGGTCGCGGAGCTCGCGACAGCCATGGAAGAGAGAGGCCGTTGCTAGTGATGTGCATGAGAGCCTGGAAGTGCACGGTCAAATGTGTCAAACGCGGACACGTGGCGCCCAGGCATTGGAAGAGAGCATCGCCGTTCGAATTCATAACGCGACAATAATGAAGCTCGAGGTGCGTGAGCAATGAGAAGCTGCGAATCGTGTCTAGGAGAACAAAGAACTGGATCCTGCGCTTGATCTGGAGGTGCGCGAGCGAGCGGCGCGCTATGGCGTCCATCGCTTGGAGACAAGCGCGTAATAAAAGGATTCGCGCGTCAGTGAGCGCAGCATGAGCGAGAGAAGGCGATCGTCAGATAGGAACTCCGCAACCGGCAACGTAGGAGGGGAATAGGTCCAGAAGGTGGAGAAGAGGGGAAACGGCATGGTACGGTTCATAGTGTCAGAAGTGGTTCGCTGCTCCACCAACTTTAGAGCAAGGAAACCACAAAAATATTTTTATGGGAGAGAAACAGGCTTGAAAATGTGGGTGGAGCTAGTAGAGATGGAACGAGCTATGTTGGGAGATGGTAGAGAGGGATCTACGAGAAAGAAGACGTCGTCGTGGACCCGCCAGAATTTTCCCATCGCTGCAAGGAAATATACGGCGGAATTCAAGAAAGTCGGTTTCATCGTCGTTTTCGGTTTGAATTTTGGTTTTCATATGTCAGTGTCAGTTACAGAATCCGGTTTCGCGACGAGGCGTGTTACAAGAGGCGCACATGGAAATTCAAATTGTTGATCGCTTAAACTTCACAGTGACACTCTATAACCTCTGTTGGAAAAGAGCATGCGATTGCAGTTTTGGTGGCTTCTAAGTCACCCTTTCGACGGGTCTAATTATTGTCGAATAGACAAATGCAGCTTACGATGGGCTCTATTTTTTCTTTAATATGATATTTTGTTAATCTGCAGCAAAGAGCATCAAGGTGGTCTTGCCAACTATAGCACGATGGTTGGCAGGCTGGCGGGAAGGAGGAAGACTGGGAAGAAGTTGCCCGCAATGAGGTAGTTAAGGGTGAGCAGGCGGGTGATGGGGAGGGTGGAGAGGTGCTGCTGGCAGCAAAAGGCAGAGGCGAGGGAGTGGGAGGTGGCGGGCGTGGGGAAGGGGAAGTTGATCACCTGGGGAATGGGGAGAAGGGAGATTGGGCGGGGAAAGAGAAGGGGAGTGAGTGGAATGAGAAGCAGCAGCTTCAGGCCTCACAGTTGACACCCCATGCCGCGTACCACACCTTTCATGCTTCATCCCTGATGCACCATGCCCCTGGGCCAGCCTAGCACGCACCTGATCAAAGGGTGTGGAGGCCGTACGGCTGACAGGGGCCTCATCTCATGCCCCTTCCCCTTCATTCTACCTAGTGCCTCATACCCCTGCCCGCACCATATCAGATAGTGGCTTGTGGCGAGTGGATAATGCAGGGCAAGAACAAGCCCTTGGGGCCATGCAGGGACATGCACGAACAGCACCCGTTCCGTTCACCACTCACCATCTTGCCCTTCCGCCCAGCCCATACATGCTCCCTCTTCTCCTTGCCTCTGCTGCCACTCACACAAACTCGCTTTACGAAAGGGTTGTGTGAGCGGTGATGGGCGGAGGGGATAAGGGGAGGAGACTGATGATGCTGCAAAGGGGAACAAGGGTGGGGGGAGAAGGGAGGGGGAGGGAGAGGGGAGACGGGGCAGAAAGGAGACAAGAAAACGGATGGGAAAGAATGGGAAGAGAGGAGTGTGAGCGAGAAGCGAGGGCGGAGGGGGGGGGGGGGGGGGGGGGGGAGGGATATTGGTTAGAGCGAGTGCTTGATGCGGTGAGTGAGGAGAGCATACAATGAGCTGACGTGCTTCTTCCTCGCATGTATGTACGTGCCTGCAAGGCTCACATCACCGCACCGCACCACGCTGCACCACACCGCACAGTGCACAGTGCACAGCACTATACAGAACCGCACTTATGCACCTGGCGAATGCCCTTGAGCATACATGGCTGCCACGCTCCCACCACCTCTTGCTGTCGCACAGTGCACACTACCTCCTGCTGTCGCAGCACATACATGGCTGCCACACTCCCAGCATCGCAAAGCACCGTACTGCATCACACTGTTTGGTGCTTCAATGAGGCCCGGCGGTGACGTGTGATGAAGATGCAGGAGATGACGTGGGGAACGGCGCAGCAGCATCGGAGGGTGCAAGGGAGGATGTAACAACCCATGGTTGGGGAGCTTCTAGGCTTGGAGCCTATGTGGCATCTTTGATTGGATGGGAAAACCCAACTTAACTGTGTTGTATGGTTGCTAGGTTCTCTGTATGGATTGTAACAATATTTGGCACAATGTGATTATTTGGAAATCCAACCTTTCCAATCTTCACTTTGATGGGTTGGAAGTTTCCAAGCCTCAAGGTTGAGGGTTGGAAATCCCAAGCCAATCTTCCTCTCCAACTCAACCTTCCCGATTGCCTTTATGTCATTTCTCATCGAGCACTCTCTCGATGTTGACTTAGGAAACTCGAGGTAGTTAGGTAGAGTAGGCGTTACACTCCTCCCCCCTAGGTGGCAACGTCCCCGTTGCCTTAGGGTGCTTCTGAGGACGAGTGCTTCGAGCACGCCGTGTCACATTACGACCAGGGTCAACACCATCCACTGGTTGTGCGGCGGCTCGTTGATCCAGGTTTGTCATATATGACTGAACTGCATTTCAGTCAAGTGCTCTTCTGGCTCCCGTTAGTTGTGTTCAGGCCCGTAGCCTTTCTACTCGATGAGGAACTCTCGTACTGTCTTGCGGCCGCACTGTCGATCACGATGCATCAGCACTTGTTCGACTTCATAAAACAATTCCTCCCCTAGGACGGTTGTTGGTGGCAGCAAGTACTTGCCCTCGGCAATGTACTTGTTCAACAGAGACACATGGATGACGTTGTGAATCTGTTATAGGCACAATAGGTTTCAATGTGCCTAAAACGAAAGATAGAATGCACAGTCGGATTTCTGCACAGCGGCTTTAAACATTCATAGCGTTCTGGTCACAGCTTCAAAAATGACCTCATTCAATTTGGATCTGAAGCGTCTGAAAGTCACCTACAATAGGCAATTTAGATCGCACGATTTAACCAAGTATTGACGACACAGCGTCGGTTTGAACGAACGGCACTATGGCAGCCACTATAGTCTTAGAACACAAGATAGGAAGAGTTGCGAGTTGGGAATGACTCCCAGCTCCTACAAACCCCAAGAGCCGAGGTACAGTGATGTAGAACAGTGCCACACTGTCCCCAAACCACGAAGGGTCTCGAAACTACCCTTCACTAGGGCCTACACCAAGTGAAATGTTACACAACACAAAGTAATGTAACTATCTTCAATATCTTGAGGTGTACCCTTTTCGCGGGCTTCGCGATCACTTGAAACTTGACACCAAGGCTCTGGTTCTTCACCACAAACTCATCCTTGAGTTCTTGATGGGTCCGCTGCACACACCTGCGACACGCCGAACGTTCGACATACGACAAAATAAAAACCGCGCGAGACACACACACGACGAAATAGAAACCGCGCGGGGCATACAAAATGACCGCGAAACGCGCGACTAGCGATAACTCGCTATTGACTCGACACACACACTCGACATCATGACTCAACATTCACACATTATTATAAGCATGAAATATATATATTATCCCATGCCCTCATACCATTCCATGCACACACGCATGCACGCGCACGGACAACAAGCCAAACGGGTTGCACCAACAGAATCTGTAGTGTGTCAGGCAGCTTAAGCTTGTAAGCTACCACACCAACACGCTTGATCACCTCGAATGGCCCAATCCATCGAGGGAACAGCTTTCGTGCTCCAGGGATTTTGAGACGAATGTTCTTCGTGCTCAACAAAACTTTGTCTCCGACCTCAAATGAGACTTCCCGGCGTTTCATGTCGGCGTAAGACTTTTGTCGCTGCCAAGAGAGTTGTAGCCAATGGCGAGCAGACTTAAGCGCTTCTTGCTCCTTGCCAACAAAGTCTTTAGCGGCTGGAATTTTCAATCCACCGATCCCATGCGTAGCCGGCGTTGTGGGATGCCGACCATAGTTCAGAATGAAAGGTTTCTCACGTGTACGCTCATGAACTGAATTGTTCACTGTGAACTCAACGACAGGTAACAACTCGTCCCAACCATCCTGAGTTGGGCCAATGAATGGACGAAGCATCTGCTCAAGTGTCCGATTTGTTCGTTCCGTCCGCCCATCCGTTTGTGGGTGGAACGCTGAGGACATCTTAAGCTTTGTTCCTAGTGTCCGTGTAACCTCTTGCCAGAACCGGCTTGTGAAGCGCGGATCTCGATCGGCCACCAAGACACGTGGTAACCCATGTAAGCGGAAAACGTGCGCCACAAACAGTTTGGCCGTATCTTCCGCAGATACGTCGGTTGTCGTAGCCACGAAATGCACCATCTTTGTCAAACGATTCACAAATACTAGGATCGCTGTATGGCCATCGCGAGTCTTGGGAAGATCCGTGATAAAATCCAAGGATACGCTCTCCCAAGGTTCATTCGGGATCTCAAGTGGTTGAAGCAGACCACCAGGCTTGTCCGTTTTATTTCTTGCGCATGCATCACATCGTGCCACGAATTGTTGGACCTCAGTGCCCAATCCCGGCCACCAGTACACATCACTCAAGGCCCACCTGGTCTTTTTGACCCCTAGGTGCCCTCCGTACTTAGTGGCATGCACTTCTTCCAGAATATCGTTCCGCAGGTTACCTACGTCAGGTACAACAATCTCATTCTTACGCCACCAGAGCTCATGCTCCCACTTGAGTTCCTTCGTGTTTCGTGGGTTCTGAAACCAGGAGTCAATTTGATACCCTGTGAGGATGCGTTTCAGTAAACCACTGAAGGTAATCTCACTCACTCGAGCCGTTTCTAGGACACTGAAGCAAGTAGAAAATGCTGCCGCATCCTCTGTGTCATCTAGCCATGTTGCTGCCCCTACCGGCTATCTGCTGAGGGGCTCAGCCAGGTTCGTCGAACCTGCTCAATATCGAATATCAAAAGTGAACCCTCTAAGGAGTCCCGCTTATCGGACTTGACGTCGAGTAAGCGTGGCTTGGGTAGAGAAGTAGGTGTTTGGACAGTGGTCGATCGTAACCACAAAGTACACACCCTCCAGATAACATCGCCGTGTTCGTAGCGCATGAACGACCGCCAAAGTTCCTGTTCGAACGTCGTATAGCGCTGCTTTGCCGGGGAGAGCTTTCGACTCTCAAACGCCACTGGTCTCCCTTCATGCAAGAGGACCGCCCCAATCCCAATCAATGAGGCATCAGTAACAACCTCATAGGGCTTTATCAGATCTGGTAAAGCCAATACCAGAGCGTTGATCAGCATTCGCTTGACCTCGTCGAATGCCTTTTGGCATTGCTGTGTCCATTGCCAAGCGCTACTCTTGCAAGTGAGGGCCGTCAATGGAGCAACAATGGTAGAATAATTCAGCAAGAATCGACGAAAGTAGTTCGCCAGCTCAAAAAACGACCTGATTTGAGCCACGTTTTGTGGAACCGGCCAATTCTGGACTGCAACACCTTTCTCCGGGTCTACCTTGAGACCGTCATTTCCCACAAGATGGCCAAGATATTCCAACTCGCGTTTGTAGAAATGACATTTCCACAGACGAGCATAGAACTTATGCTCTCGTAGTTTCTTCAACACCCACTTAAGGTGTCACGTGTGCTCCTCTTTCGTCTTGGAAGTCATCCAGATAGACCAGAACAAACTATCCAATCACCTCGCGAAAGACATCATTCATAGCCCTCTGAAAAGAGGCAGGAGCATTGGTCAGGCCAAAGCTCAGCACTCGCCACTGAAAATGACCAAACGGCGATTGGAAAGCCGTTTTGGGTACATCTTCTTCAGTGATGCGCAATTGGTGATACCCCTGTGCAAGGTCGAATGTGCTGAACCACTGGGCACCTTGAAGTTTGTCTAACAGATCCTCAATTCTTTGCAAGGGGTTTCTCACCGTTATCTTGTTCAGAGCAGGGTAGTTTACACACATAAGTAATCCTTCGCCCTTTTTGTTAACGAACAAGATCGCCGCTCCGTAAGGTGATGCGCTTGGTTCAATCCATCCCTTCCTAAGATGTTCCTCAATCTGTTCTTTAGCCTCCACGTACTCAGCTGGACTAAGGCGATACAGAGGTCTAAAAGGTGGTAGTTTTCCAGGCTCCACTAGGATGGTGTGACCGCCAGCACGGTCCGGAGGAAGGCCATCTTGGCTGGCCTCAAAAACCTCCGCAAACTCGTTCGCCAGTGCTTTCATCTGAGGCAGGAAATGCTCGACCCCAGGCATCTCGTGTTCTGCATTCTGAAGCTGTACCACAAAGAAGGAATCGACTTGTCAAACATGCTTTCCGAACTCGTTTGTAAGCGCAAAACTCACATCGGGACACCCAACGTGTGTTGCTCGTTCGTGATCAAGTACTTAGGCACTTGCCATTGGACAGTGTCACCATTCTTTGAGAATGAGACCGTATTGTCATGGAAATCGAGCTTGACTTCATTCGCTCGAAGCCAATCCATTCCAAGGACAAGGTCGACGCCTGCGACAAGGGGTAAAACATATTCGCAAACTTCTTTTCAATACCTCTCAGTCTCCATGTTGATCTGTGCCCGCCCTTTGCTTGGAGTGATACTAAGGCCAAGGCGAATGGGGCAAGACGGTCCTTCAACGAGGATCGACACACTTTTCGTCATAGAGGGAAACTGTTGCACCCGTATCGACAAGGATTTTTGCATTTTCCCCGTTTACGCTACCCGCAAGCAACAGGATTTTTGCATTTTTGCATTTTTTTTTATGCTTTGGGCGAATAGGACATGCCACAATATTCATCGAAGGTTTGAAATACACCTTGACGTTGTGACGAGCACGACCATGTGACTGAGAGTTGGTCCACCATACATGGTGTCCCTTGTCCCACGCCGCCAAGACCGGCCATCCACGTAGCGCATGGAACAATTCGCCTTTCACTGTGCGAGTCACCAACGCGACCGAGGTCAGGAGGTGCTTTTGAGTGCAACGACTCACAATTTCAATGACAGA